CCACATCCAACCAAGTGCCACGCTTCGTCAATTCCTCCTCCAGACCTTGCCTTGCAAGACTCTATGATCTAGGCTCTGGCCGCTCTTCCCGCTGCATCTCACACCTCTTGTTGACTGTACTCCACTTGCACAGGCATCCTGTGTTTCTCAAACTTTCCCAGCAGGCTCTTCACTCGGAGCCCTTGCATCTTGCTTTTCCATCTGCCTGGAACTCTCTTTTCCCAAATATTCTTAGGCATTGCTGCCTTTTTTCCGTTCTCTGCTCAAATGTAACAACAGCTCCTTTGTTCTCTATTTCTTTATCCTGAATTATTTTCTTCATGGTTTTGGGAATATAAAGTTCTCACTCTCCTAGGAAAAACTGACAGTTCGTTCAGCATAGCAGTGAGTCACAATCAAAACCAGGACTAAATGTGTTTAATCAATCAGTGATTGATGACAAAAGTGCATGCACTTCTGAAAGAAAACCAGTAACGTCCCCTGCCATCAACTTCAGAAAACTGGATCATCAGCAGCAGCTTCAGTCCAGGGAACAGATCTCTGAGAGCCAGCCAGTCAGCAAGAATCTTACTCAGGTCAACATGTTTCCACAGCTAAAGTCAACATGCCAGCTTCTAAACTCCACACTTTTTCCAAAACCCTACATAAGCTCTCTTCTTTGCGTATTAACTGTGTCTTACGAGCTCAACTCTCCCTCGCCTCAGCAAGCAATAAATTCAGCTTATCATTTTAGATATTGAGTAACAGATGCTTCATCAGTATTGATGGTCACCTGTGATTATAGGATATCTTTGTTGTCTGTTTATTATCCATCTGTATTAGAATGTAAGCTCCAAGAGGGCAGGTCCCTTGCTGCTTTGTTCACTGACGGGACTTCATGCTGACAGAGGCACCTAGCACATATGAACATCACAAATATTTTTTTAATGTGTCTTTTAGAGTAGGAATAATTGCCATTTAGCATCATATCCTCACTGCCTAAAATAGTGCCTGGTGCATAGAAGTAATTCCATGAAATACTAGTTAAATAAATGAATGAATGAATTCACCGTCCATGCATGTTTTATATTTGTTAGGGACATCCTTGAAGTAAAATAGATTATTCAGATCTCTGTGGGTCCATATAATTCTCATAAACACATCTCTTTCTTCAGAAATACACTAGCGAGAAGATGCCCACCTGCCTATTTGACATCTCCTTTTGGAAGGCTCAAAGGCATTATAAACTCTATACGGGTGCCAGGCCCATGGTTGAGTGGTTAAGTTTGTGCCCTCTGCTTTGGTGGACCAGTGTTTCACTGGTTTGGATCCTGGGCGCAGGCATGGCACTGCTCATCAGGCCATGCTGAGGTGGCATTCCGCATATCACAACCAGAGGCACTCACAACTAGAATATACAACTATGTACGGGGGGGCTTTGGGGAGAAGAAGAAGAAAGAAAGAGAGAGAAAAAAAAGATTGGCAAGAGATGTTAGCTCAGGTGCCAATCTTTAAAAAATAAATAAATGAATAAATAAATTCTGTATGTATAAAACCAAATCCATGCTCTTTACCCCCAAATCAGATCCCCTTCTGAGGTTCTCTCTGTCAGTAAATGGTATAGGCCAGAAATCCCCTTTCTCCCTTGAATTCGGTTTTCAACCCAGCATCAAGTAATGGTGATTTTACCTCCTAAATCTCCCTTTACATGAGTACCACATTAATCCAAGCTACGATTACCTGTCACCTAAACTACTTTAGTAACCTACTAATTGGTCCATAAGCATCCTCTCCAGCCCTCTCACCAATCTAATCTTTACTCAGCCAACTCTTTCCTTATAAGCTTTTATTGGATGCTTTGCTTATAGGACAGAGTCTAAAATCTTTAACATGGTCTACAGGCCCCATTCATCCTCATCTTGTACCATATTCCATCTCACCGTCTGAATTTTAGTCACTAGCCTTCTTCAAGTCACTTGAGATTGTCATGTCCTCCCCTTCTTCCATCACAGAACTTCCGCAAATGTTAGTACCGCGGCTTAAAATATTCTTCCTTCTGCTCCTCCTTATTCTTCATATAGTAAATCCACCATCACTCCCTCACTCCCTGACCAAATCAAGTAACCCTACTGACTTAGCACCTTGTCTGTCCCCTGTAAACACTTCTCACGTTTGAAATCTAACTTTTGTTTGTGTCATTATTGGATTCATAGCTATCTCTTTAACTAAAGTGTATGCTCCAATAAGAGGGGGCCTCCATTTTTAGCATAGAGGAGGGAGTCAATAAGTATTTATTAATGAAAGAATGAATGAATGAATGAGTGGCATTTGAATCTGGTCAAGTCTTTTCCAGTACATCTCAGAGTAAACAGAGTTGGAGCCTGTGTTGTGAGAGTGCAGTGGGGCCAAAGAAAGACAGAAAGCCAGGAAACAGTGATGCATGGAGGACCCGCCTCGTTCGAGAGCTGCATGCTTTTCACTGAAAATTTCACTGGAAAGTGAGTCTCGCTAGTGTCTCATGGACTCAGGTTCAGTGGGAAAGGGAAAAGTAGAGCACGGAAGACATAGACAGATCAATTGCGCCTTTATTGAGGAAGGGGAGACTGATGGGTCCTGACTGGTTGTTGTGTGCCAATTCAGGAGCCCAGTGCTGTAGCAGGTTTTTATGTAATACAACCAACTTTAAAGACTTAGACTTTAGACTGCTCTCTTCTAAGAAGGGTTTTGTGCATGTAGGAGGAAGATTGGCCCTGAGCTAACATCTGTTGCCAATCTTCCTCTTTTTGCTTCAGGAAGATTGCCACTGAGCTAACATCTGTGCCAATCTTCCTCTATTTTATGTGGGATGCCACTGCAGCGTGGCTCATGAGCATTGCTGGGTCCACACCCAGGATCCAAACCTGCAAACCCCGGGCCGCCTAAGTGGAGTGCGTGAACTTAACCACCATGCCATGGGGCCGGCCCCTAAGAAGGATTTTTATCTTGAGGGAGTCTCCATTAGATGTAGGTGCTAAGTGGCTCTTTTGACTAGTTTTTGGGTTCATTTAGGTATTTTTTAAAAATCTAAAACAGTTTGTCACATTAAAATGCAGTATTTACAAATGGTGTTGCTTTTTCCCATTTTTGCCCCACTGTGAAGGTTTCAGTCACTGCTGTTGTGACATCGGTTACAAAATCTCTCATCGTAGAAATCAAAAGTAAAGGACGAGAGGAAGATATCAAAGCAGGATCATCTGTAGGAAGAAAATTGGGAACACGGAGCAGGGTGCGGGGGGTAGGGGGTAAAGACAGGTTCCCAGGCAGCCTGGTTTCCCTTTGTTTTCCTTTCGTCTTGTTACCCACCAGGAATTCATATGAAGCACAGTGCCTGGCATGTAATAGGCCCTTAGAAAATCTTAGCTACTTTTCTCCATTTTATTAGTTAATAACCATCAGGTTTAAAAGTGCCATTTCCTTTAGCTGGTTATAAATGGCCGTAAATTGCAGACACTTTAGTTAAAATAGATAAATGGGAAGGCAGGGAACACTGTGCTCCCCTTAGCCATCACCACAGCTCTGCCAGGTGATGGATGGGTAACCTGAGGAGGTTCAGGAGGACTCCACGTAGGTGTACGGCTGCCTGGCTGGCACACTGCAGGACCAGACTCAAGGTGATGTCTGTCACACGCAGGACTTTTGTTCCCTTCCGCGACTGCCTTGCTCCCGCCATGCGGCTGGTCCAGTTACACTGGAGGAAAGGATAGGACGACTAGGAGCAAGGTCGTGTGTGATTTTGAAGCGTGGTGATTCTTTGGTGATTAGCGCTTAAACTATTCTGCCCACCAGTAGCTCTTTAACAGCTGATCGAGGCAAAGCGTGGGTGCTGCCTGCCAAGGGTGGGGGCTCCCCGAAAAGGCAACCCTTTTCCTTCCCATCTTACACAACCTAAGGCCCTTACCCAGAACCCGGAAGTAAAGGGATATTTGCGCGCTATTTGGGGAACTTAACTACTACATATAATGTTATTTCTAGATGATAGATTCCTAATTCCCAAAAATTACCTTAGTAAGAGGTGGTTGGAACACGTTCCCTTTACCAAGTGAAGGATTGCCTGCAGTTTCTCTGGACAGCTTTTGATGTGGCTGGAAATTTGGGTAGTGTCAGTGTAATTCTAAACAACAGCTCAACGGCCAAATAGTGCTTTGCGTAAAACACATTTGTTTCCTCATTTTGAAAAGGAGAGAACTATCGTCATTCATAAACTAGGAACGTTGCTCTTGTGTGGGCTTTGGAAAAGCGTGGCTGACTGGAGGCAGTATCTGGAGGACTCCAAAAACATTACACCGGAAGGCATTAATTAATAAATTGACTGTGCTCCCTGACTTCTGTGTGTGCCTCCTGGATTAAGGCTTTATTTGTCTGTTTGTTTTGTTTGCTTGTTTTTAAGTCCTGGAGTTGTCCATTTTTGACAGCCTTCGATTCCTTTTGGACTGAACTTTCTCTGTGAATAAAGGTCCTGCTTTTTACCACTGCTTTTACTACCTTAGAAGTCTGTTTTCATGCTTATTTAAATCTCTAGCTTGGGTATGTATTTAAAGCATACTTCGGTTTTTCGGTTTATAAATATTAGCTTCCTTATGAAATGTAAGTGTGCCTTTTGCCACTAGAATGAATTGATTGATCTATCTTCCTTCTCATCTTTAAACCTATTATTTACCCGACTTTTAGCTTTTCTAACATAAAGTAAAAATGGCTCACTACAATAAGAAGATTAACAAACAAATTAAAAAGGACTGCTTATGAAAAAATATTTTAGAAATCCAGTCCTTTTGATTAGTAACCAGCCTTAGTACCAGGAAAACTTCAAAGTGCTCTCTAAGCATTGAATTTTCATCAGTGATGCTGTAAGCCTTAGTTCTCATCTTTCATGCTTACCCATGCAATAACTTCAAAAAGATAAAAAGAGGAACAGTAATCTCTCAAAGCACCCTTGTGCTGGGGCCGGTAATCTTGTCTTTCGCTATCATGCGTTCACAACCAGATAATTGCTTCATTATATTACGCTTTAATAAATATAATAATTAACATTTTGTTACAAAAAAAAAGCAAATACTCAAACCATTCAGAAATGAAATCCACAGCCCAAGGGATTTCTAGAAGAAAATGAAAAAGAATTAGACAGCGTCAAATATAGACATCTTCAAAGGGAAAGAGATCATTTAAACTCGCCTTTTACTTACTGAAAAATGTTCTGCATATTTTATTGCTTTTGTCATCTTGCCTGTTATAGTCCAGCCAGTGAATGTTCAAAGAACATAAAATCCTACAAATAAATAAAGTGAATATGAGTGAATTCACAAAAGGGCAGCAAGTCAAATCAAGAGTGTCCCATGTAAACTTTGGTTATATAAAGCAGTTAATGTTTCACAGCAACATGCGATTTATTGCTAGAGAAAAATCGAAAGATTTTAAGCTTCATGACACTTAACGTGTCTAATTTTCAGGGCACACATAACTCGGAAACCTTATCTGCATCAGCACAGTATCATCAATCAAAATTGTGGGTGATCAAGACTTTGCAGATTTAGACCGTAGGGCATTCTGGGTCAGTGCAGGAGGTTGTAATGGACAATGGCCTTTGAACAAGCATTAGATACATCATCACGGACCCTGTGGGCAGTAACTAGGTGGTCATCTGAGCAAGTACCGGAAACTACACCAGAGAGAACTTTGGAGAGGGGATTAGAGCTGTGGGTTTTGGAATGTAGCCTTGAACCAGAGGAGAGCAAAAATTAGGTTGTACCTGTGAATTTTGCTATTTGGATCAGGGAACAACCTTACACTAGCACCTTTCTAAAGGTCTCTCACCACGAGGTAATGAAATGGGGATGGCACTTAAAAGTTCAAAAGGTAACTCTTCCCGTGAAATTGTATATAGAAGGAAGTAATTGATCTTGGTAATACGTGTGAGGAATTGTTTTATAAGCTATACTGGCAAAAAAGAAGTGTTTTATAAAATTATGGTAAAAAGAAAAAAAAAGAAATGGATGGGAGTTGTTAGATATTCTCAGTGAGTATATTTCTCCCTCAGACACTGGAATTAAAAAGTTTTCTTTTTAACAGATGGTTGGGGTGTTATCTAGAGCTGTGTTTCTTCAATTTATAGTGCACAGGGAATTGTTGACGGTACATTTTTGCCATCAGCTGGGTAGGAAAAATAGGTGAGTAGAGCAGGTGAAAGATAATCTACTTTTTTAATATAAACATTAAGTATGGGGCTTAATCAGAAAGGCCAAATTCAGGTTTTGGGAAAAGGGTGTGTGTGTGCGTGACTGCATGTTTGGAGGGATTAGTGTTGAAATGCAGAATGATCAAAAATGGAAAAGAGAGCAGGAAGTGGCAAATTAAAAACCCATCAAGTGAACAGAGGAGAATAGGGAAATGAAGAAATATTAGGTGACCACAAGACCGCTGGGACTTGGTTAGCTTTGTAGATAAAAATGGGAATTGAGGGTAAGTGACTACTTAGTAAGTATGAAAACCTAGCACTCGACATATATTAATCCTACCTCCCACCAATGGTAGGGAACCAATACGTTAAAATAATTCCTCTAAAGCTCCTGGAGAAATAATCCTAATATATATATATTTTAATTAAACTCTAAGTATCCATCAGTGATGTTACCAGGGAATTATTTTTAGTTAATATATTTCCCGAGTGTCTTTAGATGAGACTGAACAAATAGGGCCAATTTTTTCCCCCACAACAGCACACATTAATATAACCATAAAATTTAACATTCTAAAACCCTGAAGAAGTGCAAGACATGAGAGGTAGAATGTAGGTTTATTTTAAAATTCCACGAGCTTTCGTGAGTGCATTGAAAATGATAAGCAGGGAGGGCGGTCCTGGGGTAAAATCAGGAGCAGGAGATGGCCCAGCATGTGGCACAGGTGTTACCTGACTTCTGCTCTGTCACCAATCTCACACCAAAGAAGAAAATTTTAATGCAACTGGAAGTTGGAAAGAAAGGACAATGGCATAATATCTTTGTAACAATGGAAACTGGCACATATTAACTCATCCCTGTCATTGCACGTATCTGTGTACTGATTGAAAGGGCAGGAAAACCATACTTTTCACATTCTGAATATCGCCTACCTCATTGTAAAGCAGTGAAACAGTCCTAAACTTTACCCAGGAGAAATAAGGTGATATTTATGTTTACATATTTTTCAGTGAAAGTGAAAATAAGCCAAAAATCTAAACAGAAGTTGAAAGAGAAGGGTGGCTCAAGTTTTGAGGAAATGATGTGTCGGGTTTGATGGGGCATCAATCCTCGTGAAGAGGGGGTTTGAGGACCACTGGGGGAGGGCCGCGGGATGGAAACGCAGGCGCCTACATTCCGACTTCTGAGAGTGTTGGTCCCCAGCCAGCCTTCTGTGCATAAAACTTACTCTTTGGGGTAAACACTGTGTAAAATGGGATCGACTCTATAGTAACTGACAAGCAAAAACGGAGAGACGTAAAGGCCCTACGCTCTTTCAGACCCTACTTACGAAGAGGAAACAAGCGCCGATCATGGCGGCTTTGACCGTCACATCCAGATCCGCAGGAACGTGAATTCCAAAGTTGTCAGCGTTGGTGAAAACGTCGTTTACAAATCCTGACCAGTACTTTGAAATCTTCCCGATTGTGAGCTTTTCATTAATGGTCTTCACCTTCGAAAACAAAATATTGAATTTGAAGATGAAACAGATGGTTTTACATTTCTTATGTTTACCTGTGAGAGAGAGGAATTATTTTATTCATCATCTCTAAATGACAATTCGATGTTATTCATTTCTGTACATAAGTATAGGTTTGTAGATTTAACTTTCCAGTTCACTCTTCAGGGATTTTGCTTTTCTGACACTTTTCTAATCCATCATAATTCCTTTTTTTTACTTTGATTTTTGTGTGCAGATGGAGAGTATAATAGCAATAAATAATTAAGGCCAGGCTACCACAAGATGGCAGCAGGTACATGGTCTCAGTTACATGGTCTAAGCATGAAGGTATTTCCTTTACCTGAGGTCCAGATTCTAAACCTGAATTGTTCATTGAAAAAAAAAAAAATGTTTGAGAAAGATTATAGAAGGAATTAACTTCATTTCTAGGTATAATTTGTTAACTTTTAAATTTTTATTGCTAAGATTTTATAATTACAAACACATTTAAATATTATCAGCCCTTGCTTTAATCTCATTTTCATATTATACTCATATATTTACTAGGTCATTTCTTTAAAACTAACCCTTGATCCTATTTCTGCATTAAAAAAGCCCTAATGTACCATACAGCAAATTCAGACTAATTTGACATCAAAAGTCTACAGTCCTTCTCGGCTAGAAGGAGTCTGCAGTTAAACTTTAGCAACTCTTCGTTTACTTGACCTGTTTCCTGTTAAGAGGCTGAAAGTGATTCAGTGTAAACTTTCACTTTCTGTATGGCAGCAGAAAATAGAAAACAGAGAAAGTTACTTAGGACATCCCCATACCATGAATACTAAAATTCTTATGTCTGAGTTCTCCTGGATCATGGGGCCTATGTTTATACTTTACTCTGAGGAAAGCCATACCAAGTCCTTTCAGAGGGAGGTGGAGTCTGGACAGCTCATTTTGCGAAATTTACGCTGTCTTCTCTGTGATTAGTGTTCCCTGAACTCTCACGAACTGAATGTGCTAGGTGGGATATACATAAATGAATGAAAAATAAATATATGCTTTAAAATAGACCATCTCCTCTGCATAAGATGTATTTCTAGAAGCTGTTCAGATAGTTCATATTGATACAGCTTGGATTTGCAACTACCCATTGTTTTATAACATTCAATTTACACAAATATGTTTATATGAGAGTAGGTGGTTTTACAAAACAAAGTTAGCAAGTCCTACGAACATAGCTTTTGAATTAGTGATATTTTAACGGCGTGTGCCTCTGAGGTGAGTTCTGAACTGGGATATGCTACCAGCAGGGCTGTAGGAAAGAAGATATAATTTAGGTGATTCTAGAAGGTATATATTTGCTTTATACCATGGGTTCTATAATTCCACGTACAGCAAATTTTTATAGTATGTTTTAAAAAAAATTCTTGGACTTAGTTTCTCTGGAGTTATGAATTATTATTGACATGTACAGTATGGGCTTATTACATTATTTCACAAATATATTACTTTCTAAATTTATTTCAGAGATATTTCATTTGGACATTTTAAAAATTGAATTATGTTGCAAAAAATCAGGACCTAAGTGAAAACTTCCTTCATTTTGTTAAGCATACCTCGAAATCCACATCACCAAAACAGCCACATGTTGCACAAGGACCAACAATTTTCAAAATATCTTCTTTGTTTGCATTTTGGATTGTGAATTTAGGCAGAAAGGGGTCCCACTTCTGTGCAACATAACCAACTATAGTACCAGGAGGAGCTTGGATTTCTAACTGTAGGAAGAGATAATAATAACATAAGATTTTCTAAGGTTATTGTATTTTAATTTTACTATAATGTCAATTTACTTCTAAATAGTATACTATTATGAAATTACTTTGATATTCCACAAATCATTCTAAATATATGATTCTAAGGAAACAAAGCAGCAGCATTTTTTTTTCATATTTCATAGAAACAACGAAATTCACTGTATAGATACATGTTTGGGTCTACCCACTGAAAGTCCATGTCTTCGATCATACTTCCCTAAAGAGAACTCATCCTAGAACTCTCCTCTCACTCTGAGCACTGGCTTCTTTGCCTTCTTTTGTTCCAAGTACAACAGCTGGTCCAGTCTTGAAGTGGTTTCTCATGAGGGACCTCCTGCGTACTCCCTCTCAGTTGTTGTCACAACACACATCTATTTTTAAGGCTCATTTACCAATTATTACATATTCTTGAATTTTTTTCTCTTCAGATTGCCAACTTCCAACTTCTCTGTGTTCAATCAAAAACACATGCTTCTAGGGGCCAGCCCATTCGCACAACAGTTAAGTTCACACATTCCATTTCAGCACTCTAGGGTTCGCCAGTTCAGATCCTGGGTGCAGACTTACACACTGCTTATCAAGCCATGCTGTGGCAGGAGTCCCACATATAAAATAGAGGAAGATAGGTGTGGATGTTAGCTCAGGGCCAATCTTCCTCAGCAAAAAAAAAGGAGAAGATTGGTGGCAGATGTTAGCTCAGGGCTAATCTTCCTCAAAAAAAAAACAAAAAACAAAAAACCCCCAAATGCTTCTTGTAGAGTTATGGTTATTACACACCAATGTGATTTCTGGCTCACTTCTTCCAAAGTGTTAACAACTGGCAATCACATTTTCAGGCTTTACTTTAGTATTTTACCCCATTACCCTTCATTCTCCTAATTTCTATATTTTCCATCATATTGTATTTCAAGGAATTTGTGTAGCCAAATCAAATCCTTTGTAAAATAAGCTGGAGGTGGGTGCAAATAATGAAAGTTGTTTGCTTTTAAATCAAACCAACTCTCCTTCATCTGATCTTATTTTGCCTTTTCTTATTTATTTTATGTATTAAGTCCACAGTCTTATGGGCATGTCTGCGGTGGTCTTGGATAGACAAAGGTGGTTTCAATAAGACTGCTTAGAATTAGAGATTTGTTCTGGGATAACTTTTAAAGTAATTGATTTAAATTAACCACCTTCGTATTAACATTTATTTCCCATCCTGCTGGGTAGAGGACGTCTACACAGGCCCTCCATACAGCGGGAATAAGGACGCCTGGATCAAGTCCTTTATTTGACATTTCCTGGATGCCTGATCACAGGTAAGTTGCCTCCTCTCTCTAGGCCCAAGTTCCCTCAATTGCAAAATGTGGAGAGTAAGACCTATTCTTTCTAGCTCGTAGAGGCGTGGTATCAAAGACATCAAAGTAAGTAAACGTTTTGTATCAACTTACCTGCATCATGTCCATGAAAGTTATTATTAAGGTCCCTTAAATAGTGATGAAAATTTATTATATACTAAAATAATAAAGTTGAATGATTCCCTCTGGGAGAATAACATTGCTTTTGGCAAACCTTGAAGTTTGTCATAAATGGGTGAGTGATATGTGAGATTCAGCAATAAAAACCACAGACTAGCCCAAAGAACCCCTTAGAAGAGTTCAGTATCACTCAGCACTTCCTGAACTTTGCTCCAGTTAGAGAAAACAAAGCTGGATTTACTTAATGGTGGAACTCATAGATATTACAATTACGTGGCTAACACAGAGATTCAGAGGGAGATGTTTCTCATTTACATGATGCAGGAACTGTCTTCACCAATTAACGTCAGGGAAGCCACTACAGTTTTTGGCTGGAAAGGAAAAAAATTTAGTGAGTCACCAAATTCTCAAGGTATTCTGATTCTAAAGGAGCAAATGTACTTATTCAAACAATTGAAAGGTTAATTGCCCTATAGCTCCAGACAAACACCATTTATTAAAAGAAATCATCGCTAATCCTTTCAGACGTGGGGAGAAAAGGATGCCCAAAGCAATGACGAACCTCTTGTAGGGAGCAAGGGCACCAGCAGCTGTTACACCTCAGGGGTCTGTTTACTGTCATCACCTCCCGACCCGCATTATCTGTGACCTTCAGAGTACAAGCTCGCAGGGTGGAGCAGAAAGTACGATTGAAGCAGATGCTTTCTTCCACTGCAAAGTAAAGTCTTTGTCCCAAGCTGTTTTTAATCTCGTATTTGTTGGAGGTCTCAGTGCCGAGTATCACTAACGGAGCAAAAAAGAAATTCATCAAAATAATCCATTGCTTAGTATCAAAACCTTTAAATAACTAAAAGGGGTAGTGTTATGAAAAGAAAACAGAGTGACTGATTAATGATTAATTATATGATCTCTTCTTTACACAAATCTACGCCTGTGCTCTAAAATTTGAGGACTTGGCCATGGTAATCAAAGAAAACTCTGAGAACAAAGCTGTGCGGTTAACAAATGTTGATTCCAGGTATGACCTACTTGGAAACATGTAGTACCATTTTTCTACTAAGGAAGCAATGCTATAAAGAGAAATCTAGTACTCAAAGAATCATTCTATCATTGTTATGGAATTTCCTGGGACAACTCACAGTGATAATAATGAATTTTGTCCAAAGTCTCTATCTGGTAATATGTCTATAGCTGCATGCTATCCTGCTGTTTATTACAATTTTGACATTTCAGGAATAATGTAGAATATTAAGGACAAAAAGTACTCTAGTAATTTGAATTCAGTTAGTCATCATTGTAAATTTGTGTATTGTTAAATAATTTACCTATCTGATAAATCACTGATGAAATAATAAAACAGCGAAATTTTATTTAGGTGTGTTTTCAGTTTTTAGTCTCAACCTTGATTTCCATTTCTGAAATTATTAAGAAAATTTAAATTGTTAGCAACTGTGGAAATGATCACAGGTCTTTTATTCTTTTAAGATTAAAAATAATGTTAGATTCCTAATGACAAAATGCCCAAAAACTTGGAGAGTTTTATGCTTTTAGGTTGATCTATATCAGACTAATAATTTTACTTTCAACATTTAAAAAAATAGACCTCATACTCTTTTTGATCTAATTCTATCCTAAACATTTACCTTTATTGCTTATAAAATATTTAGATGTAAAGAGACGTCTGACACCGAAAATATTTTCAACAGTTTTAATAAGTACAGAATATAATGTACTTACTTCCAAGAAGCTCCACCTGCTGGTGTATAATTATCAGGTCTAGCTGTTGAAGGATGACATAAAGGAAGGGAAAAGTGTTACATCGCAGCACTTGGAAAACTTTTGGAGATATTACTATGGGCCTGTTTACTAGACTACATGCAATTAGGTGATTTTCCTGTTCTCTGCTAGGGAAACGCTTGAAAACAGCTCACGTTTTATGGTGAATGTGAGAAGATTCACCGTAAAATAAAAGAAGATATAACTATCAAAGAAGATAACACATTTTTTTATTCAAGTAAAGATAAAAAAGGATAAGAACTCTGAAAATTCCAAGTAGAATTCCCAGAATAACAGTACAATTTGTGGTGAACTCTGTGTTCTTTCTGTGGTAATGGAATAAAAATGTAGTTCTTGGAAACAATACTTTGAGATTTTTAAACAATCTCTGAATAATAATGTCTAAGAGGTTTTAAAACTCTCTCTTTTTTTTAATGAAATGATGCAAAACAACAATGGTCTGAGTGCCGGGGCTGGCCTCTCAGCCCTGCCTGCTCCCCCTTCACTCTGCCATGCTGGAACTCATTCCTCACAGTGATTTGTTAACGCTGAAAGAGGTTATTCACACCTTCCATTGGGCCAGGAAGAAACCCAGAAATCCTGCTAATACCAACAAAAAACCAATTTAAGTAGAATAAGAGTTATGCTGCTAAATGCGTGACATATAAAATTTGCTTTATAGAATTAGGAATGAAAATTTACAGAGGTGAAGTATCCATACCTAGTTGAGAAATGACTATATTAAAACCTATACAAAGGAAATTTTTTTAACAGGAAATATTAAAAATGTGTTCTTAGAATGGATTTATCTGTGTATATTTTGAATTTGATATTCCATACTTGAAGATTTACTCAGGTGAAATCATGAGCATGAATACAGTGCTGATCATTGTCTTTTCGAAGGCTTCATTCCCTATTTCACCTGAAAATTCTCTTCACTTTGTTCTCCCTTCACAGTGGTCAACTCACTGCTAACTGTTAAACTGAAGTATTCGTGACTAATATTTGGTATTGATTTAGCATCTCAAACCCAGAAAATTCGAAGTTGCGTTATTTCCTTCATTCTCCTCGTATATACTAGGGGGAGGTAAAACTAATATCATTTTCTCAATTTATATCTTATTGATAAAAGAGTGCCTGTGGACTCTTTTTTTAAGATTCACAAAAAATATTTTTCCATAAATAATTTATGATTTAAGATATTCTAAAACCTACTTTAACAATGATGGCAAAAGCTTTTTTTTAAAAAAAAACAAGAATCCGTTTTTGTAGTGTAGTATTCTTAGCTCTGTTCTGCTCTTTTGAGGAAAATGGAAGGTTGGAGGAAGAGAAGAGGTCAGCCTCAAAAAGGATATCCACGATTATTTAACAGTGGAGCTATGCAGGAGGAACTTAGGGGAGGAGAAGGGCTATGGGGACAAGCCCAAAGTTTGAGTTTAGAAACTTTGAGTATCAGTGTCCTAGATCAAGTTTTAGTCTTGAAATTATCAGCTGAGATCCACTGTGCCATGACAAGGGAAGTTTGCCTCTCTAACGTTGAATAACCGCAGTTGTTTATTTAATGACTACCCTGAGGTAGTGACTGTGTTCGATATTTCGACATGGTGTCTAACTGAATCTGCAGGAAAACTCAGAGAGAGAAATATCATTACATTCTACGTGCGAGGAAACAGTCCTAGAGAGATTAAGTAGTTTGCCCAGATCACAGAGCTTGTCGATGGTTAGGCCAGGATTTGAACCCAGGCCATGCTGCCACCAATTTTGACATGCTTTCTACTCTGTTGTACTGGCCTCACTAAACTAATCTGGGAGAGACAATTCTTAAGTGACACTGGAACTTCTGAGTACCTTTCCTCCCTGTTTTCTCTGCTCTTCTACTCACCCCATCCTCTGTAGGAACACTTGATATGATCCATCTCTGTGGGCAAAGCTCCTGGATTTGAGGGTCTCGTTTTCGGTTGTTCTCGTCACTTCTTTTAAATAGCCCTGGGCCACTTATGAACTGTGGTCCAAAAGAGCCCTTTCCGTCCTTTGCTATAAATGGATGGACCAGGAATTGGAAACTTTAAACAGATTGAATCATATATTCCGGTGCCGGGGCAAGTAAAGCATTCCTTAAGGAAACCTGATGACAGCCTTGGATCTGTAGCCTAAGAATCAATTTTTACGTATAATTTATCAGGTTTACAGGTATCAGTGATGCCATTTAATATACATACTTCAAAATAAGTTGGATCTTAACATGTGTCTTTGCAGGCTTTAACTCACTACTCACGTACAGGTGACTGCGTTATGGTAACCAGCCTTTGACACCTATAGGGTAAAGTGTTATTGACTGTTATGAACATGTTACTCCAATCTGGAGAGAAAATGTATTAGTTTTATTCTTAGGTTTAACCTACATGAACAACACATATATACATAGATATATACATAATTGGGAATTTATTTTCAAATTATTAATGAGAAGACTTTCATAGTCATTGGATGGACTTTAGTAAAAGAGAATAAATGATTTTTTAAAAATTTTACTTTAGTTTTTTTAATTTGGAAGAATTTTATTGTGTTTTTTTCTGTTTATTTATTGAAGAATGTACTATTTCTAAATAGTCATAACTTTATTTAATTCTTATGGTTTTTAGATAAAAGCTAACGCATAAAAATTCATTTTATATATGTCTCTTACAGGTTCATTTATAAAACTTTTAAAATGCTCATTCATCCTATTGTATGTGTACTGCATTAAAGCAAATAAGATGTATTCTTTACTATAGAGATTATAATTATCTTTCCCTTTGAAGTAAAATATTCACCAATTTGTGGCATATTTTTGTTTTCTGAAAGAGATTACCGAAGGTATATTTTTGGAAATTGACTTCATTTTGGAACTGAAGCCAATGGGTTCATATCTCTATTTATTGAATGCGAACACAATGTCTTCACGTCAAGCATCTGGCTCCGGGTGTGTCATCACTCATGGATGGAAGAGGAATATGTGATGACCATATGTGATCATCAAACCTCAGCCCTCTGGCACTGGTATATCACTTTTATACTTGGCAAAACCTTGTCTGACAACATTCCCAAACAGCTTGCAGCAGTTAATCAACTCTAGTCAGCTATTACAGCTGATCCTTTCTGCAGATGGAAGGTGGTGGGTCGGCTTTTCCAGCTCTTTTACATATCTCCCTGAGCTCTCCAGTCTCTGAAGTACATTTGTCTGCCAGTGGGTTTCTGGAGAAGGCATCTGCAATTATAAACATTTTCCCAGGAACATATGCTGCATGCAGCTTAAACCCTATCAGGCACAACAGAAATCTCTTGTACCTTAAGGGAATTAACACAGAGATTTGATTTTGATAAAGGAGACAGACTTTATAGTTTGAAAGAATGCCAAACAAGCTGAAAATCACAGCAGATGTGCTGACATCTCAATATTAGTGTATTTCTAATCTTTTGTAGGATAAAATACAAAAGTAACAATAATATGCATAAATATCAACTGCTATTTATGTGCCTTATAATTCAGATGATGATATTTCTTGATTGATTTATTTTGAGGCTTCAATCACTGCTGACCCTCCCACGACTAGAACAGTGATTATATCTAATAATAATATCATCTTTCAAGCAAACTGGCCTGGAGATGCAACAGTATCAGAAGACAAAAGTGCTAACTTGATAACTTGCCTTCCCTTGGAGTTCCATCCACTCTTTGAGATTCAGTTGAAGACATTGGACTTTCTGCTCATTGCGGAAGTCTCTCCTGAGAACTTTGATCTTTAACACCCTCTCTCTCCTCTGCACACCTGCACAAATTTAAGTTGTCTCCTGATCTGGCCTAAATATACAGCCTTGAACTTTTTGTCAGCACTTTTTTTCTTAGCCAATTAGGTTGCAGAAGGTTTGGGTGAGAGGGACTAAGTTTTATGGCTTTTTATATGCCTTGATTATAGCAAGTCCTCAATAAATATTCTTTAATTCAATAGCTGTAGGTGTTATTCAATTCCTCCAGGATGAATTTGCTGAGACCTTGAGCAATGAGCAGAAGGAGGATAAACATGCTAAACAGCTCAATCAAAAATGTTTCGTCTCGTCACTCTGGCAAATAAATAAGGAAAATAGAAGTGGCTCTAAAAGAAAACATAAATTTCTTCCCAAATAATAAAGAAATAAATAAAATATAAATTTTATAATTTCATGATTTATAAATCTTTTCTCCTTTCGGCAAGTTATTCATTAAAGTCCTTCAACCTTAGTTGAAAAGCAAGAAACCAAGTCTGTGTTCATCTTAAGTGGAAAACCTTTGTAGAAACAGAGATAAAAACAAACACCTGGCTTAAATATTCTAGACCAGGAGGGAGACCGCCTGGTGGAACGAGACCCGGCTGCCACACTTGGTTCGCTGGGTTGGGAGGTGAGAGCTGAAGGCTGCGATCTGGGCCTGGAGCTCCGGGAAGAAAACCAGGGAGACCTCTAGTTCTGTGGTTCTGTGCATCTGCAAGAGAATGAAAATCCCAGCCCATATTTAAATTTAGGGTGTTGCATTTAGTTTGTCTTATAAGATTTGTCACTTCTTATTCAGAGGGTGGCGTATCTCCTGCTGCCTCCCACGTTAGTGCCCTGCCTTTCATTTTCCTACTCAGTGTCACCACCACTTTCCCGACTCAGTGTCATCACCACCTGACCCCTCAGCCAGAGAAAGAGGAATGCGGAAGACTGCTAGTAGTAGTTGTCAGAAAAAATTGGATAATTTGGGCAAAATGAATGATTTTAGAAAATGTGTTTTTTGAAGGCAAGTAAAACTAGTGTTTAAAGGGCAGAAAAATTATAAGCTACAAAAGGAAAATAAATGGTAAAAGGAACTAGATATTCTCTACTCAAAATGAGATAACCTTAGACGTACGTTTTGAGTCACAGTTAGGACTTTCAAGGCATGTTCTCCCTTCCCCAAATGTTATGAGGGTGCCTCATAATCTCCATGAATATTTGTCTCTTTTTGTCAATCGTACTGCTATGGCTAGGTTTAATTCGGTGGTTCTTGGACTTTACCCTGCACCAGAGCCACCTGGAGGGCTTGTTAAAACACAGATTGCTGGGCCCCACGCCAGAGTTTCTGCTTCAGTAGTTGGGGTGGGGGTGGGCCTTGAGAATTTGCATTTCTGATAAGTTCCCGGGTAAGCCAACACTGCTGGTCTGAAGATATACTTTGAGAACTAATGGTTTAACTCTGTATGCTGTAAGAATATTCATAACTAATTTATGAGCTTTTTAAGGGCAGTATAATAAGTAATTTAGGTTTGATTTCTCAGTATTTTGTATAAAAGCATCCAAAAATTTTTGCAAGTGTGAATCCCTTTGTAGCTCATCCAATATCACAAAAGATAAAATAATTACAGAATTCTATAATGTTTGGCTTTGATTTTTTTTAGAGATTCACTTATTTTCTCTACTCTTGCCAGGTAAAAATGTTACTATTTCAGAGATCTCTCAGATTGAAATTTGGAGATTTGCTATTTACCCTGCATTAGTCTGGAGCCTGTGTAATATTATGCACAAGGCCTAATAAGTGGTGCATGCAAAAGCGTTCTTTGTTAAAAATGTAAATTCATAGCCTTTCTATTATTATTTTTCCTTTTTCTTCTCACATGACTGCCATTTGGATATCTCCCACATTACATGCCAGTATTTTTTTCAAAGACTATCAGTGTTTTTACTTGTCATTTTTGTTAATCCATAAGATATCAGAGTTCTCATATGTGCATTCATTTAGTTTACTACCACTATGCTGTTTTAGATGGAGTGTAGGTGTGGAGCAAGGTTTGTGACAGGTATTCTGAAATAATAAAGGGGCCGTTGTGAAGACAAATAATTCAGACCATTCTAAAGACATGTGAATGGGCAGGACAAGGAAACTGGTTCTGGATTAATATAAAGAAGACATTTACAACCGCTGCACAAAGATTTGGTAAGTACTCATTGAACAGATACATCTGTGTAATTCACAATAGATTATAATAATCTCTCTTCAGTGCTGACAACCAAATTCATGTAAGATGTGTGTGGAGGGGTGGGCGGTTGGGGGGGTGGTTATTCTGAACCTTTTAAATCTCTAAAAAATAAATTTGAGAAAAGAACTGAGTTTCCTTTGGAGATGGTAAGTTCCCCATCATTAAGAGAACTCAAGCATAGCCTGATGAGCACCTGGAGAGGGATTAAAAAAACAACTGGTGACAGAAAATAGACATGGAAGGAGGGATCCTTTGGACATTGACGTCAACTGATGTTTTGATCTAGTGACATCAGATCTAGTAATGATAGGCTAGTTAAGGTTGTGTGTACATGTGTGTTAATTGCCAGATGATTCATTTATTTATTTCACCTTAAGTTTGTAGGAATAGACCAAGATGGATCCCTACGTTTATAGTGGTCGATGACATTTAGAGTTTGGACATGCTTTAGGGTTAAGACCACATGGAAACAAGCTTGTCATTTGGCCCTGCTAAAATAGAGTTCCATATTGATAATATTATAGCAGTTTGCTTCCCACAAGAACCCCATCCTGAACTTCTCTCAGATCTGGGAAGACAAAGAGGCTTTAGGACTCCTCTCACTCTTGAGAGGCAGCCAGAATGGGGGACCCCAAGCAGTAAACTGAGGAAGACTATGTAACACTATTTCAGATTTGGGAGAAGAACTAGCGGCCAATATAGCAATAACAACTGGAAAATAATAAAAGGCAACAAACATCCTTTCTTCGGTATTAGTGCCAAAGGCACTGTTGTCATTGACTTTCAGAGAAACATAGAGGCAAAATTGCCATCTAGGGAAAACTAGCTCATAAGGATAAAATTCAGAATACTGGCTCACCCTGGGAGTAGAGGTGCATGGCTCTTGACCAGAAAGGGAACTGTATGAGGGGCTAGAAAGATTCTATATCTTGATCTTGGTGGTGGTTACACCGGTACGTCCTGATTTAAAAAATCATGGAGCGTAAGTTTGGTGCTCTTTATGCACTTTACTGTTGTCCTTCTGTTTACTGCACATGTTGTCCTTCAATTAAAAAAGAACTCATGTAGAGAGAAATTTCTAATAATACCTGGTAAAAGATCATTAGATTCTCTCTCATTGTCACTTTTATTGTTAAAAAGATTAGCAAATTACTCCAGTTTTATCTTGTAAGCCATACTTGCTGTTACAAAATGCAATAGGTTGTTGAGTGTCTGGCGAAGGGCTGTACATTCCTGACTCAGATCTTTAGGTCCTTAGACCTCACAGCAGATCCAGAGGCATTGATGCTCTTGGGGCCCAGAGCAGATCACGTCCAATGTCTTATTTGGGAGCAGAGTCGCAGTCGGAGACTATAGGCTCAGCATTCTGAAAGCACTCGCTTCCTTTTCTGGGATTCCAGTTCACATTGGAGCAGCCTCTGGAAATCACTCCTGTTCAGTTTAGATCATCCTGGAAACTCCCATTTTTCTCAAACTTAAAAGAGAGTTTGAGACCAACCTGTTGTTAAATTGTGTTTCTTTATACGAAACCAGGGGACTCCAGCCCCCACAAATATTTCTTCAGTTCTAATGGCAGCCAGTATTCAGACTGTCCTCTGGTTCAGTGCTGCTAATTGAACTGCCTACGAAATGTATGAAATGTCCAATTCGCCTGTATTCCCCGGGAAAATGCTAATTGCCAATACAGTTTCAGGGCCAGAGAACATCATGATGTTATAAATATTGTCTTTAAATATATTTGAAGAAAACTGTCCAAAAAATGTTTGAGGTAACTGACCTGCCCCCTCAAACGAGATTTCTAATTGAAAAGGAAACTTTATTTTCACTTCTTTTGAATGGCATAGATTCTCTCGGAGACGTTTGACCCACTTCATCTATTAAATATTCTGAGTAGGCTGCAGAAGGAGTGTTAGTTTTCCACTTGAAGTTTTACCTCTAAGTTTAGTCTTGAATCCTTATCATTACTGAACATCACTGCTTTTTTGGTACATTAATCTATTTTGATCATAATATTGCTTTCTAGTCACAAGTTTCTTCAAAGACTCAGACCACCAGATGAAGAAGGAACTCCTTTGAATTTCTATCTGGCTTTGAATTTCTATCTACTCTTTTAAAAATGTATAAGTAGCTTATAAATATTTCACACAGTCTGCAACTCTTTACCTTACAGGCTAGAGTTGCTGCTGTAACTCCTACTTTAGAGAGTGATGGATGTTCTGGACTGGCTATTAGCTCAGTCTTAAACGAAAGAAAAGACTTGTCAAGATGTCTTTGTGTTTGTCTTCCAATATGAAAATGAAGCACACATATATTCAAATTCATCATTTTTATGTTTCACATCTGTATTTTACAATTCGTTTCAGCTCCCCCCGTGACACTCAGGGACTGGTGTACATAAAATGCTGATGAAAAATGAAAAGATTACCTCGTTTGATCCATATTAAATGGCATCCAAAATGTATTTTGATAAAGAAAGCAAATAAGCATACACATTTCTTTGAATGGATCATTAATTTAATTTAGGATATTTTAAATTGGTGGACTCTATTATCCTATTTGTAATTAGGTTAAAAGGTTTCCACCAATTATATTAATCATAATTCCTCATGCTAAAACTTTCCATTATAGCCTAGAGTTTAATGGTTTGTTCTAATAACGGAAGGAAAACACATCATAACTTTATTTTTTAATATAATTTCACGGGTGTTTTTAGTGAGATTGCAACTCATTACCTTAAAAAACAACCACATGCCCTGTTTTTTGAGAAGTTCTTAAAGTAAGACAGTACTGATGATATTTATACAGCTTTAGGGAGTTGAGGAAAAACTTCCCAGCTCCCCTGCCAAGTCCCTAATTAATCTGCTTGCTTAAATTAGTTATTTTCTGTTTAGTTGTTTATATATAGTTTACTATCAAAGAAATTTTGAAAGATTTTTACTTCATAGTTCAGAAATATTTACTTCTAGTCCATTAAATTTGCTAGAATTTACCAATAACACGTGGAATTCTTTATAGGAAATGGCTATGTCACATACTTTGAACAAGTGGGAAACTGAAAAACATTGAACTATATACTTTAACACTTTTTAACTTATGTGTGAAAAGCTTTCTTCAAATCCCTTTAAACTTGGAATATCCACCTGCCCTTGTGTTTGGCATTAAATATCCCCGTTCTAAATTTTGCTGTGCAGCTTTTAGTAAATCACTGTGTTTATTCATGATAACTAAAACATTGTTTACATCTTAACTTTTACGTTCTATCAGATAAGGTTGTTTTAAAAAAAATTAATGCAACATGCTCCTTGGAGTTCAAATTTTAAAATTCCAATGTTCCAAAGCAATAAATGACAGGTTTTAAAGTATCAATCTCATTGATTATAACACCCCTACAACCGGATCTTTTTAGTCATAATATAAGGAAAAATTTATCAGCTGCCTATATTTACTCTTACCTTTAGAGGCCATGAAGATGTCTGAGTCACTTCTTCAAAGGAAGCCAGATTAAAAAAAAGGCTTTTCTTGTTGCAGCGAGGAGAGAAAACACAGCATGCAGAAAACTTCAGAAGGGGCCTGTCTGCTTCATGTCTGCTTACAAATAACAGGAAGGGAGCACCTTGCCCGAGTCCGGAGGGCTGTGTTTTATCAGTTTGAACAACAGGGGGAGATGAAGTTATCACAAAGGTAAACACTGCTCAGAAACCATCGTATCACTTGGTGGCTGAAGGAACAATTTACAAATAACAAAAACCAGAAAGGAAAATATTCAACACTCGTTTTAAGAGTCTTGTTTCCACTTCATTTTTGTAAAAAACTATTTCTTGGAGTATATACTTTTGCATTCACTATTACACTAGAAACATTCTATTTTTCTAATTTCTAGGAATCTCCTGTGCCAGAGTCTGTGATAAAACATCCTATCATGTGTAAGTTTCTGAGCGTTCTAAATAGAATTTTTTTTATATTCTGAAAATATTTGAAGATGGATATTCTTATTTTTTCTCAAGATTTTTCTCCATGCTCTCCTCTCATAACAAACAAGAAGAGGATATAGTCCCCACTATCTATGTACATAAATAAATATTTTCTCTGTTAATTAAATTTGATTAATCAGAGGCATTTGAAAATACAAACCTTCAATAACCTCACAAAGTTCATCGAAATGTCGAGGTTATATTTAACTTCCTTGCATACTCAGGGCAGAAACAAGCACTGTAACCTTGGCTAGAAGACTCATTTTTCTAGATGAAGCTGACCAGGTGAGCATGGAGATTTTGCTCACCAAGTCAGTTGCCCTGGATGGCGTGATTTGCAGAGGTTGAATTTACAGGATGTACTGCATTATCAGCAACACTGTCTACTTCTAAAAGTAGTTCAGTGGCCTGAGAAGGCATAGATACTGATGAAAAATTATAAAGTCAGCTCACAAGTTGTAGGTAGCCAAAAATTTGAGTTCTTATATGGGAAAGAGAGCTTTCTTTTTCTTGTTGTTTTGAAATGTTTGAGGTTGAAAAAGCTGCAATTATTTGAGTTGTCATTTGGGAGAAAAGGTGTAAACAAGATTAGTATTTTAAAATTAAATTGTGGGGCTGGCTCCGTGGCTGAGCGGTTAAGTTCGAGCGCTCTGCTGCTGCGGCCCGGGGTTCAGATCCTGGGCACAGACAGGGCACTGCTCGTTGGGCCACGTTGAGGCGGCGTCCCACATCCCACAACTAGAAGGACCTGCAACTAAGATATACAACTGTGTACGAGGGGGTTTGGGGAGATAAAGCAGAAAAAAAAAAAAAAAGATTGGCAACAGTTGTTAGCCCAGGTGCCAATCTTTAAAAAAATTAAATTAAATTGTATGTACCATAAATTTCTTAATGTTTGTCATTGGCATGCAGAAAAACTTTAATCCAAAGAAACTAAGTTGTTATTAACACTATCAAACGTGGTATTTTAAATTATGGTCATAATGGACCAGTTAATTTTGACTTTCAACAGAGTACCAATTTTGAAATAAAATCTAAAAATCTAAGTGAGTTAAACATATATTTTGGCCTATACAAGGCCAACCATCTATGTATCTGCACAGTGCCGTATGACTGATGGAATCTTCCAGTATGGTTAAATGGAGACTTCCCAGGCCGTCAGACTGGGTGAAGTGTAGGTACTGCCCATTTCTTCCTTCACATTTTCTTCCTCTGTCCTGCTGAAGACAGCACCAACATTGTTTTTTCTTTTTAAAGGCCCAGCAGATCCCAACCTGAAGTCTCCCCTTCTCTCCGTTCCCTCTTGTTTCCTAACCCTTCTCAAGGAGAGGCTCACAGATCCTCGTTAATTGACCTCTCCCATGGTTCAAGTGTCCTACTAGTGAGCAGCCAGGTGATGTTGCTCCACAAGCTGGCCTCACCTCCTCTCCAGCTGCTGTTGCTGCTGCCATTCAACTCCGCCTTCCTAGTACTCTCAGTTGCCTCTCTTAACACCTGCTGCCTCTGTGGAAGAACTAGATCCACCACTTATTACTCAAAATGGTCACACCGTCTTCTCAGCTCTATGCTTTGAAGCCCTTGACTTTTTTAAGCAGTGTCGGTTGCACTTTGCCGTCAGGCTGCAGTTTTCTGGGCCACTCCCTTGACTCCATGAAACACAGATAGAAAGTGGGCATGCCTAGCAGACATTACCCAAGGCTTGATGATTACATAGTGGATTGCAGTACAAAAAAAGGAGCCTTAAAAAGGAATATCAGAAAACCTAGAGTTGATGACCCGGCCCCTTTCCAGGAAACACCCTCCTGCTGCTCTGGCTCCTGAGCCTCTGCTCTGCCGCTCTGCTGCCCGGGCGTGCTCATCTGCCCAGGATGTTCTGCCTCGCCTGTCCTTGCCGCCCTGCAGGAGGAACCTCCATATGCCCTGTCTTCAGTTTCAGCCAAAAGGAAAGGGAATAAAATTGCATCATCATCTTGGCAAGTCACCCTCTGCCCATGGCCTTTAGGCAGGACATATCACGGCTGTTTTAGAAGGTCGCTCATTCAATTTTACATCATTGTTCAGAACTTTCTCCAGTATTTCCCTATGTAATGGTTAGATATTTGACTTAAATTCTCATTACTGACAAGGTTCACCAAAATAGTCTCTCTCAGTACAAAAGGAGAGACTGCCAATTTATTTGAATCTATATAGTGACAGAGAAGAAATGCTACCTGTTATAAAACAAAGCAAAAGAGAAAAACAGCAATATGCTCCAGACATCATCCTCTGGGGAAAGGATGGGAGTAGATTAAGATGCAGCCTACAGATCTGGGGCAGGACCAAGGACCAAGACTGGGATGCTCTGGCTTTGGGAATATTTCATTAGCTTTATGGTTAGCCTGCCTCTGGTTTTACTATAAAAGTATGTGTCCCTAAAAATTATATACATACATATATCAACGTATACATATGTACATATATAATCAAATATATATGTGGAATGAGAGAGAATTATTTATTTTTCTTGATTTATACAAATATTATTTTAGGTATAATAAAACATATTATTCACTTACAATTATATTTTTTTAAAATTCATGACAATGCATAAAATTACATTTGTTTTCAGCCAATGTGTGTCATTATGTTTTATGAATATAATGAATACAATTTTGGGCCATTGCCCTTTTAATGGGCATTTTGATTGTTTCCATTATGTAAGGCAATGCGGTTCTTATGCACAGGTGTAGCAGTCCCTTGAAAGTGTACACCCAGAAATGAAAATGCTGGCTATGGGATGTGAAGATCTTCATCTTTACTAGCTTTCGCTGAATTGATCTCCAACGTGCTTGCATCAATTACAGTCCCAACAATAATGGGTAAGAGTTCCCATTTTCACATATCCCTTCCAACACTGGCTTGGCGAGTAGAGTGGGGAATTAACTAGGGGACTCCCAAATACTAGTTTATGAGAAGGCGGCCTCCAGAGATCTTCATTACATTATAATCTGAGTACTGTAAACACCTTCGTGTGTATTTACATTTTCAGCTGTTCCTATCATACTGGATCACGTAAGAACAACTAATAGCAAATCTTATGAATAGCTGGTTATCAAAGCAACTGTGACAGGTGGGGAATGGTTTGTAACTGGACTATAATTCAGTGATGAAATAGCTCCTTTCATTCAGTGAGTCTCATGGCATGATCTGATGAACTGTGGATCCACTCCCAGCAACCGTACAGCACTTAAGGCATGCATTTCTATGCCCGAATCCGAGCCCTGGATTTATCATTTCACGTACTAAAATTTGTTGTTGAACAAGGCAGAGTGTGTATAAATACATTTATAAAGGAAATAATACAAACCTGGGGAGAAATATCATTATTATAAATGTTTTTCCAGAGTCATTTGATTTATAACTACACTATTAAATATGAAATGCCTAATCCCTGAATATAAACTTGGGTGTTTCTTCCCTGCTGATGTGTGACTCCGATTTCAGCAGCCACTTACCCACACTTTGCAAACCTACCAAGTACATCTCTTTCCTATCTTATTCAAACCTGCCCTTTTGAAAGCGCTTCATTCACTCATTCATTCAGTCAGTCAACATTTATTAGCTTTTTACTCTGTGCACAGCATTATGCAGCAAACTGAGTAATGATATGGCCTACGCTCTGGGAGATGGCGTGCTCCAATGGACTATCTCAATACAGGGCTGCGATACTATTCTTATTTTTTAAAATTAAGAGTAAGTTACCCCTCCTGAAAATAAGATGATGTAACTCATCTCTTCTCTGAAAAGCAAAACTAATTAGAATCAGTAAAGCATCGTTCAAATGAGCAGTTCTTTGTTTCACACATACATGTCTAATTTTCCTTTCCTCTGTTCTTTCAAAACAGAAAAATAATAACTGTTAAGATAGTCTTCCTTGCATAAAGAAAGGATAGTAAACTGGATCACGTTTCTTAGCTGCTAATAAAGGATGGATTTCTTACCCACTCTCTTTCTGCCTACTCAAAAAGAGATTGATCCAAATGACTAGAAAAAAAGGAAAAGAATCCTAGATACAGAAAAGAATCTGACACTAAGAAAAAGCTGATTCTGTAGCAAACATATCTAGAGGGGCCCCCCTTCACCAAGATGACATGGAAAGCATTCCTAGCTTACAGTCCTGTGCTCAGACTCCAGGGACAAATGGGATCCCATAATCAGCAGATTGTAAAACCCAAGGCAGAAGCAAAAGTTTAGTTTGTGGATAGTTCTTTTTTAATTTTCAGCCTTATGCATTTTTTTTAGGTGAAACTAAGTTAAGTTGAATGGAATTCTTTGAAGTAATCTGTCTTTATTGTGCTTTGTCTTCTGGAATTTGCCTGATCTGTTATGCATCATGCAACCTTCTAATAGTTTGTAACAGTCTTTTCCTTTAAAGATTCTAAAAGTAGAGGGAATATTCTGAGAGGCTCGGATGCATTCCAGGCTATATTACTAGAAAAAGAGACGGAAATTAGAAGCAGAAAACTGTACTCTCCAGACGTACGACATATCGACAACTATTTATTTAGATGTCCTTCAGGGTGTATGTTTATGTGTGTATCTGAGAGACAGGGAAAGAGAGAGAGAGAGGAAATTGGAGCTGCTAACTAGATGGAGGGGGGGAATTAAGAAGACATTAAAAATCTTCAGAGACCCCAATTCTCCGCATCAAGAACTACTTTACAGTTTTGAAAATCTCTTTATTTCTACCATCATTTTAAATATACTTACCCTGTGGCTTGCTCAGTGTGGTCCTCCCAACATCTGTCTGCATCTTCAGACATCACCAAAATCCTGCGCCAGCCCTTCGGTAGCCGCAGCCGACAGCCCGGCAGTGCTCTGCGTACACCTGCTCTCGTTGACAGCAGCCATTGCAGGCACAGCTAGCGCAGCTGCAACTCAATGCGGCCAGAGCACACCAATTGTTTTCTGCAGCACATTTTCTTCACATTTCCAGCATTGAAAATAAGCTTCCCCAAGCTTGGATGCCCCCAAGAGCAAATTCCTGAGAAATCGAGATAATTATTAGAGCAAACATAGATTAAACATATAGACAAAGTACATTAGAGTTAATTTATGCTTAATTGTGCATATTTAGTGTTTTCTTTTGGTGCTATTTATAGACTAGATCATCCAGAAAATGTTACCACATTTGAATACATGCTTTGCTAAGTGGTGCCTTTGAGAGTGGAATGTGTCCCGTATGCCATGGAGAATGTTGCTTCACTGAATGAGAATGGAAGAGGAAGGCCTCTGGTTGTTATTTCTGTAAATTCTTTTTCTTGTTGTTGCCTAATGCAGGTCCTGACCCATTATAGCCATTCGCGAGATGTTGACTGAAAGAATGATGGAATGGATGTCACCAAAAGCATTGTTTCTTGTTTGGGTATTCTTCTTTTCATTTTTTTGTCTACAAGCAAATGTGTGAACTGTGAAAATGTATGAGAATTATGATCTTGCTCCTGACTTCAAATTATAGTTAATTGTGATTTGAATAAGATGTATACAAGTATGCTATTATATTTTTTGCATAACGAGGAATAATTCTGTGTTTGCTTAAAGTGAGGTATATTTATGTTTTTGATAGTTTTAATTTTTTCTTTTGAAATCTCCTTAGTC